CACCACGACAATGCGAGCTCCCACACATCGGCTCAAACAACTCCATTTTTGAGCACTCAAAACAACGATTTGACAGGTCATCAGCCATGTAGTCCATGGGTGACTTCTTCTCATCCCTTACGTAAAAAAAAGAGAGGTCAACGTTTTTCGATTCTGAATAAGCCGTTAATACGTCCAGAATCCATGTTTTAGAGTTACCTACATCAGAGTGGTAAAAGTGCTTCAAAAACTGGTTCGAGCTCATGCAAAAGTGTATAAATCTTAATGTGGAGAATTTTGGAAGGCAGCAAAACGATTTCCAACAAATAGTATTTGTTTCTGTTCTCAAATCTCAAAATATAAAAAACAGCCTACGTATTGAACGACAGAAATCGGAACTTCCATGTTTTTTGCTTGTGTGCTTGTTTTTTCTCCAACATTCCTTACAACACCCCTTCCTACTACACAAAACGCGTTTTTAGTAAGCAACGACAGCCATGGTTGGTAGTTCTTCAGGAAGTACGATTAAAGAACGGAAAAACTTACTTTGCACTCCATTGAGCTGACCATCCGACATCTGTGACCATACTGTCCGTATGAAAGTAGACAAGCATATTATTCGTTGTGCTTTCAAATGTATTCTTGCTTGGCATGTATGTGTCCATTCTAGAAATAGGAAATTTTGAGTTTTCAAGACGCCTTAAACCAGGTTAGCTCTACTTTGATTAAACTGAATACGGTGTTGATGATTAGATACCCCTTTAAGGCCCTATGTGCCTGGGCATGAAGTGGTGTGAGGTACATACATATAGCACGGTAGAGTGTTCTGAGCACAATCGGGATGAGCAACATGGGATGGTTGAACCCTGTTCGTTGACAAAGGAAGGATTATGAGCTCTAGAAATTCTTCCAGATGTTTCTTGAAAGTCATAAATATGAGTCCCACCACATTGGAAAACGTTGTGTATTGTAAGAGCAGGTTCGGGATTAGCAATCGTCTGGAATGCTTCCCAAACTATGACGGAATTTTTTAAAAAGTCACTTTCATATTTTATCGCTGCACGCGTTGAATGATCGAACGAGATAATTATTTTTGCAAGATTTACTGGCGAAAAACCTATTCTATCTGCACAATAACGTTAGAAAGCGAAGCGCGACCAAAAAAGGATCAGTTTGTACTTGGCAATGATTTGTGAAATAGGCATGATGCTTGATGTTGACTGAACTGCCAATAACTTTACTCACTGTCCAATCAATTTTGTTTTATTTCCGCCATCGAATATCTCGACATAGTCGAAATAGTTTTCTATCTTGACAGGATCGAATGTGATAGTGATATACGTACTGGCAGGGCCTGAAAATCTAATAACTTCCATTCCTTGATATCATATCCCCAGGAATTTTCAAGCTCACTTCTCAGTTGATAGTAGCAGTCGAGATTGTTGTAATACTGATTTGGAAATCCTGGGCTATTTATGGTTCCAAAGCGAACAC